CAGACCCTCGACAATCATTAGCTGGCCACCACCCTCGTTCCCACCAGGTACATGGCTACGACAGCAAAGCCGAGAGCGAGCAAGCTGTTTGCTAAGACGTCGAGTGTCAACTACTAATACCTTGCCTTACGGTAAGGTACATGTAGTCTACACTATCAGATCCACCATCGCGCGTTTGCTCCGGGTCCCGGCTGCTATTCCTGTCCTCCCTCGTGCAAATACCTACGAATTACAACCCGCTCTCGTTTCCTACAGAGCTCCTCTCCGCTCTCCCAGTGTCTTTAACCCACCGCCCAAGAACCGGGTGTCACAGGGGTCCTTCTTGCGGTGGGCGATCAAAGTGTGAGCCACCACCCCCGGTACCCTCCTGCACGCATGTGGCATGTACGTGTGTACCTCTCCATATGCAGGAGGTTGACCACACTGCAGCAGACCCGGCCTAGCGTTGGGCGTCGCTTTTATCTACTGCCATCCTCCCACCAGACTTCGTTCCCTCTGCTTCAGCCGCGCCCTCCCACCCGAAGGTGTGACACAATTCACCTGTCGGCTGTCCGTCCTCCCTTTCAACTGTGTGTTACTAGTGTTTCTCGACATGAGATTGTCCTGCGACGAATCGAGTTGAATGGACCGGTAAAGAGCGCGAGAAGAAGAGACGAACGAGGTTGCGAGGTTGCTGGCTAGCTTGAGACCTTCCTTCTCGTGCAAGTGAGCAACTCAGCTACCCTCATCCTCCTTGCATCATTCCGGCGTGGCTTCGGAATCCGACTTCTTCCAAGTCACCGACGCCGCTCGAGTTGCTCAAAATCCCCATCCTAGCTGACAATGAGTAACCCTCGCAACCCTGCGCGGATGCGACAGGGGCTTAACCCATTGTTGACGCAGTCTTTGGGTTCCTATCACAGCCAGATCAGCACCCCACTGTCTGGAGTCTCTTCAACACAACTCAATTCAGCCCACACGCCCGCCAGCTCAATCCAACCTTACAACCCGCAAGAATGGATTGCTTCGCCAGCCGCTGGTGCTGAGCAGCCACGTCAATATCCCGAACAAAGTGAATATAGCCTTCAACTCTGACCCAGGTTCATCTTGCTAAAACAGTTCTGCAGGATCACCGCTTCCCCCGCCTCCATATAGTCCACCGCGGAGTCAACGACCCCAGAGCGGCGTCTTCGATTCGTCACCGGCAGCCAACATATCAGCAGCCCGTATCCCTCCGACTAGTCTTCACAGACCCTCTCCCGAGCCGGCCACCAACACATCATTTCCTCCACCTCCTGGCACTCGAACGAGCTCCCGTGAACGACGTTTCGGTCTCCACTCTCTGAGGAGAAGCAGGGAGCATCACGAATCAAGTCCGCCCGAGCCAGTACCGCCTGTTCCGTCATTAGCAAGGTCAAACCCTCTTCAAATCCAGATCCCGCAGCCAGTGCCACAGCGTAACGATTCAGGCTCATCAGCGGGGCCTCCTGGAGCCCGAAGGGCTGCGTCTGCCAGTGCTGTTGAGACGCCGACGTCTGCCCGCTCACGCTCGACATCTCAGACCAGGTGGGAGCCCGGCATGCCGCTTCCGCCACCGCCCCCTGGCCCGCCTCCGGCCTCGTCCAGATCGCAAAGTCTTCAGAGTATGCATAGAACAAGTACACCGATGGCATCGCCACCAACGAGACGACCACCCCCAAGTGGCGTCACAGCTCTTGGCCCAGTACCTCCAACGCCAGCCAACTGGGCCGATCAACCAGACACGCCCGCTCGCCCTCCTCAGAATAGAGGCTCGCCCGGCTTGACGATCGATACCTCCAGTGCTGCAAGCTCTGTTCAGACAGGCGAGTCCAGCAACTCAGCTGCACTCAGCTCTGGAAGTCTAAGCCGCGCAAGGGCAGTCCGTCACGATAAGACCATCGTCCAGCGCCGTGCGGAAAGTCGCAACAGATATAGCCTGCATCATAATTCCATAGACGGCACTATCAACCCAGTGCAGTTGAGCGAGATTGTCGTCGCGAACGACACCACTCTCACTCGTAGACTGACCATCAACAAGTCAACACCGAGAAGCGGAGGCCGGACGGCGGACGACACCCCTCGGACTGACGAGCAATCAACGACACCTCGAGCGGGTGACTCCGCTCAGCGCCCTCGTCTCGAAGCTGCGACCCCGCCATTCTCGCCTCATCCTGCCAAGAGCACTTCGATGGTTGGGGGGTCGCCCAGCGTGGTGCCGAAAGCCCTACCTACGCCACCACCCCAGACTCGATCTGCATCCAGTTCGCAAACCAGGTTCAGGTCTATGACGCCTGCTGCGGATGGGCCCTCATCAGCTTCCATCTCAAGCACGAAACACTCCGCGATAACTCAGACAGCTGATCAATTCTGTCATGAAACGATTGAGCGGTTCCAGGCGTTCGCTGTCAAGGAATCAACAGCAGCAAGCGATGCCGACCGTGTACGATTGTTTGCCGACTTTATCACGAGCGAATCACGCATCAGACGCGAGAGATACTCAGCAGCCATTGGGGCTATGGGTTCGGAGATCTTCGATCTTACGAGGGATCTTTTTCGCCCGATGGTCACAAGACGGGAATCCGGAGCCTCTCAGGCTGAATGGACGCCGCAATCATCTGAGCCTACTCGATCTCACCGCGGCTCGCTGAATTCGATTTATCGCGAGACTCCAGGGGAGTCTAGTTCTGCCCCGGCTTCTGCTGCATCAAATGTCCCCATTTCACCTGTTGGCGGACCGCCAAACAACGCAAACTGGAACTCGAACTACATGCCATCGCTCTCCCCAATCTTGAGCATGAGCGTTAGTGACAAGCTGGACGAGGCCGATTCCAGAGGTCGTCCATCCAGCAGATGGTGGGAAGCCGATTCAACTGGGACAGGGGGCAAGCTAGTCGAAAGATCCAAGCGTGAATCCAAGTATATGGGCGTGCCGAAAGAAGCTCGAGAGGCTCTGCAGTGGATGGACAGTCCTCAGACGCAGGCAAACCCTAGCGACGGGCGAAGTTCCAGCGAGTATCCCCCGGAGAAAATGGGATGGCATGAGCCCGACTCGGCATCGACACCGCAGCAGCTGCGATACTCTGCACAATCTCTTGCTTCATCCGGCTCACCCACAACTCCAAACCCAGCCCATTTGGACGTGTCTCGCCTGGTCACCCTTCCGCCGCCCTATCCTCGCCACCACCCGGCCGTGAACAACAGCCATCCTGAACTGACAGAGACAAGAACTGCCGTTCGCCAACTGAGCGACCTCTCAGAGGTCGGAGTTACAAAGGAAAGGTTCCAGGTGACCAGCAACAAGAAGAGAGAGGAGGCATCCAAAGCTGCAGCCGAGCGCCGACAAGCCCTCAGAGTCAATCTTCAGCAGGAAGTTAACGTCGGCAACATGACATTTGCGGAGGCATCGGCCATTGAGCAAGATTCCGCGGCGGCGGAGAAGGACAAGCTCAAAGAGCTTGGAAGGACAGAGTTTGAGCAATTCCAAGCCCAGGTTGTGATGCCCCTGAACGAGCTCGTCACTGGCCGCATCGCAAAAGCCACGACCTTGTTCGACAAACTGGCCAGTGGCTTGTTCGATAATGTCTCCAGCACTGCTGATATGCCACAAGAAGAAGGCGACGACAAGCCTGAGCTTCTCGAGAAGCTGACGCTTCTCAAATGGATCTCCGAGGCCAGAGAGATGCTACACCGAGCCATCTACGATGTGCTCACCGAACGCAACGATCGTTACCGAGAGGTCGTGCTGACGCCATATCGGCTCGCCGGCAACCAGGAGAAACTACAGAACGCTGTCGCTTTCTTTGCTGAAGATGCTGCCAAGCGCGAGCTGGCGTTCGCTCACGAGGTCCTGGCCCGTACCCAGGAGTTTCAGGCTGTTGTCGAACAAAATGTCATGCGTGGTGTCGAGGTGCAGCTCTCGGCATTCTGGGACATTGCGCCTCCTCTGCGCAGACTGCTGGAAAAAATACCGCCTAACCTGGATGATTTCAACATCCAAATACCGACGTCCGAGTATGAGGAGAACCCCTCGTACCGTGCACACCCACTACAATATCTTTTCAGCCTGCTACTGCATACGGAGAAGAGTACATACCAATTCATTGAATCACAGACAAACCTCCTTTGCCTCCTGCACGAGGTCAAGGAGGCCGTTACGCATGCCAAAGCCAAGGCCGTGCAGAGCGAGGGCGAGGACGCAGACGGACGGGAGTACAGCGCCGAGGAGCGCGAAGCACGAGCGCAGCACCTGCGCCAGGAGGAAGGCCAGATGTTGACAGATGATTTGAAGGAAAAGGTGCGCGTTGTCCAGGACCAGTGGAACAGCGCCCTCGGCGAGAACATCAAGAACGTCAAACAGATGTTGGGAGAACATCTCCTGCAGACCGGAGGGTGGGATGAGACGCTAGAAGAAGGAGGCGTGGGTAGTGTGTAACCACAGACGGCAGTCGCGAGACTTGATGAAGACGGGTCATGATTATTTCTATCACAGACGTTGATACCCATTTGCTGCGTATTACGACACTTTTGTTAGATTATTGTACATAGTTGAGCTTCTTGGGTTGGATCTTATGAAGGGTTAGAAGCGGCATGAAGACACGAAAACCAGAAAGCACGAGATGAGGATCGAGATTTGGTTGCGGTTGCGGCGTATCGCCCCCTTATATGTCCTGTCAATTCATATGCTGCCATCGTCTGCTCCCAAAACGAGAAGCGCTACCTCATGTTTTCACCTAAACGCCCGCCATTTGTATTGTACATGTCTATATCAGCCTCAAATGACCCTTTCAAGACGCTTGGTTGTCGTAGAATTGTGTGTACGTCTGGCATGCCTGTCCGTTGAGGCGAAACCTCCGTGGCTATTCCATGGTGGCCAAAATGCCAATTAGGAACGTTATTCGTTCTTGAACGTTTCTCCTGCCACCCTGTGTGACATGCCCTGAGGAGACGGGGTCTCTCTTTCCGAGAGCATTTTTAAGATCCGTCGTCACCAGGCCAGCGGCTTATTTCAGGCGGTTCTTGAACTCCTTTGGCAAATCCATGCCGACCCTCCGAGCTGTGAGGCGCACGCGCTCCTCCTCGTCCATGTTCATGCCCGGGTTGTAGCGCTCCAACAAGGTAACATAGGTGCGCTGAGCGCGGAGGTAGGCGGCAAACTGTTCGGCCTCGGCGGCGTCGGCTTCAGCTCGGTGGCTGGTTGTGGAGTCGGCGAAGCTGGCGCGCAGGCGGTGATGGAGAGGCGAGCGCTCGCGGGCCAGAACGGGGCGCGGCGGAAGCTCGCGAAGAAGAGATCGGTAGATTGAGCGGAGGCGTGGTGCAGCAGCCATCGTGTTTGGCTATCCTAGAGGAAAGAAGACGGGTGAGGTGGGCGGGGGTGTTGTCGGGGTGGTCGACACAAGTAGCGGTGCGGTGGACGGAATAGGATTTTTTGGTTGCTTCTAAGTTGGCGATGGGTTCAAAAAGTTGTAGGCTGGAGCTTATCTTCAATTGACCTTGCGCTTGTGGATTGCCTCAACGGGTTGGATCCCTGTGCCTGGAGTGCTGCTTCACTGGCTGAAGGCACGGGCGCCCCCGACGTACCTTGGGTAGGTACCTACCGTACCTACATGCTACTCGGGGACGCAAAAAAAAAAAAAAAAAAAAAAATTACAAGGAGGGGAGCCGACCCCGCGCCGGCACCGGCACCTACCTATGCAGAGCTCAATACCTAAGGTAGCCTGCAGTGAGTGGGATGGAGGGGTTTTCTGAATTCTTGAGCTCTGCCCCTCTCTCAGTCACAGCAGAGCTCCAACGCATCTCCAAGTAACGCAGCCTGTCTTCTTCCTCGTGCAAGCGTGTCAACTGTCCCCCCTTTCCGAGTCAGGTCGTTTGTTCTCTTTGTGCATCCACCAAGTGGAGGATCGGAGAGAAAATTCGACGCATCGTCCTCTTATGATAGGTACACTAGACGTACAAGCTGGGCTTCTCAGTACGCATTCCGCGCCGTGCACCCACAATTGCATCCCAGAAGCCCACCGCGAGCGACGCACATGACGTATCAGCTTGGTCCCTAAGGTGTACATACAGACGAAAAGCGGTTTCCTCCTACATACACATCCCGCGTTTGCCAGCTTGTGTCTGTCTCCTCTTAGAATTCTATGCCCCTCAAGCCCGAGCCACAAAAGATCAAACAGAAACCCAGCTACGCATCCGTTCCCTTTCTCCTCTTCTCCTCCTTCATCGTCGTGACGCTGGCCATCCTGTCTTTGCGAGCCTTCCCCCGGCTCTCCCTCCTCTCGAACCACCTCGCCCTCCCCGCAAACTTTGCCCCACGAGCCATCTTCTTCTCGACCAACGCCAAGAACCCCTCGCCCACCATGTCCTCGTACGCAAAGGAGCTCGAGGTCGCCCAGCTGGCTGTCCAGCGCGCCTCCATCCTCACCAAGCGCGTCTTCCACGAGAAGGCCAAGGGTACTGTCGACAAGAACGACAAGTCCCCCGTGACCATTGGCGACTTCGGCGCCCAGGCCCTCATCATCGCCGCCCTCCGCCACCACTTCCCCCAGGACGAGATTGTCGCTGAGGAGGAGGCGGCTCAGCTGCGTTCTGACGCTGGCCTTCGCGACCAGATCTGGGACCTCGTGCGCACCACCAAGCTCGAAGATGCTCAGGCCGAGACCCTCCTGGGCGGGCCCATCGAGACCGCCGAAAGCATGCTCGACCTTATCGACCGTGGCAACAGCAAGGGCGGCAGCAGCGGACGTATTTGGGCCATTGACCCCATCGACGGCACCAAGGGTTTCCTGCGTGGTGGCCAGTACGCCGTGTGCCTGGCTCTGATGGTCGATGGCGACGTCAAGGTCGGTGTTCTGGGCTGCCCCAACCTGCCCGTTGACGACAAGGCGCCTTTGACTGCCGACATTGGCTCCAATGCCACCGACAACACCGGTTACGGCGTCATCTTCTCCGCCGTTCAAGGCCAGGGCGCCACCTCGCGTCCCCTGCAGAGCGGTGCCATTGCCGACGGCGCATCCATCTCCATGAAACCCATTACCGAGATGTCGGCCGCAACCTTCTGTGAGAGCGTCGAGGCCGGCCACAGTGCTCACGACGACCAGGCTCAGATCGCCGCCAAGTTGGGCATCACCAAGCCCAGCGTCCGCATGGACAGCCAGAGCAAGTATGGTTCCATTGCCCGCGGCGCTGGCGATATTTACCTGCGTCTGCCTGTCAAGGCCACATACCAGGAGAAGATCTGGGACCACGCGGCTGGCGATCTCATCGTGCGCGAGGCCGGTGGTCAGGTCACGGATATCCAGGGCAAGAGATTGGACTTCTCTGTCGGCCGGACGCTGGCAAATAACAAGGGTGTGATCGCCGCGCCAGCCGCTGTACACGAGACCGTTTTGAAGGTTGTCCAAGAGGTATTGAGCCAAAAGTCAAGCTAGACGGGGATAGATGTTTTTTTTTGAATTTTGCCTCTCCAAGACCCAGCAAAATAAATAGTGTACAATAATGGGTCTTCCCTAGTCCATACGGTGATGTACAGGTATACACAGCCCTCTGGCCTGCCTCCCCCGTCGTTTGACACGCCGCAGCTGCTGTTGCAGTAATGCAAGTCGTGATCCCACACACAAGAACAGCCGCCCTGCCACCAGTATAGCCGCTTATTTGATCTTCTTCTGCTTCAACTTGATCGTCTGGTCGTTGATGAATACACCCTTGCCCTTGTACGGCTCGGGCGGCCTCCACTTTCTAACCCTTCCAGCAAAGCTCATGATTTCTTCTCGGTCGATGCCCTCCAGCAAGATGCGTGTCGGCGAGGCGAGGGTGACTTTGACGCCCTTTGGAATACCCATCTCGACAGGGTGCGTGAAGCCGAGCTTCAAGCACAGAAAGTCCTGGCCCTTGTATTCCTCCTTGCCGCTGCGCTTCTCGACAGACGCACGGTAACCGATACCGACTAAACGTAGGAGTGCCGTGTGGCCTTCGGAGACACCCATGATGTAGCGCTGAAGATACGCCCATGTCGTGCCTGTGGTAGTAAAACAAAGAATCAGTCCGTCGCTCTTCGGCTTGTCAAGATACCTGCATGCAAGAGGGGAAGCAAGCATCCCAGGAAGGTGGAGGTGGAAAGATAGAAAACTAGACCACTCACCCCACATCTCGCGTTGCTCCTTGATGTTGGAGTCCTCGACAGAGAGGATCGCTCTGCTAGACTCGGCATCCTGCTCAATTTTCACAAAAGGCTCGATCTCGAGTTCCAGTTTGCCTATACCGAACACGATCAGCAAGGGCTTCGCTCGGCCCATTATCCGGGTGCCCAGTACGAACCCAGAGGTCCTGTGACAGAAACCGTCCTCTTGTACACCTTCAAGTAGCTCGTCGGGTCCTTTTTCAATAGAGGTTCGCCAACCAGTAACTCCACGCCAGGAGGGATTGACAGAGGCGTCCGGCCAAGTTTCGAGGGTCGGATCGCTGTTGCGGAGAATTGGCGTCGGGGCATGGACTGCAGAGCCGGCACAAGGAATACCGGAACCGTCGTGGACGGCGAGGAGGCCAGGGCCTGCCTCAACGCCGTTCCTCTGCTAGGAGCAAGCATTGTAGTCGTCGAATGGCAAGTTACCTCCCAGTTCGCGCGTGCATGTGTTGCTCGATTGACGGTCGTGAGGGTCTTCAGGAACTTTTCCCACTCCTTAGTCATCAACAAAGGACCCACTTCAGAAACTACTGCAATTGGCCTGTACCAGCTCAGCTTCGCTTTGCAGCTTCGGTGTATACGCCAGAAAGGTTGCCAACAAGTGATTTTCACAGAGAGAACTCGCGTTCTTACCTTGCTTCTTACATGGGCATTAGGGGGAATTCACAGGCATTGATATTGGCCAGTAGTTACAGAACATTGTCTGATTCTTCGTACTCGAATGATACGTCAGGCGTACTACTAAGAGAGGTATATCTAGAAGCCCATGTTCTGGCAAAGCCAGAGTCGCGAAGCGAAATTCCACCACGGATGGAGTACATTGGTGGGTGTTGAGGGTGTGGCACTAAGCGTTAAGCAGTTATTTATTTGACTGCGCTTAAACCTCCTCCTCAAGAGGAGCCTCCTCCTCGTACTCCTCCTCCTCCTCGTCAACACCAGCGTCCTGGTATTGCTGGTACTCGGAGACCAAATCGTTCATGTTGGACTCAGCCTCAGTGAACTCCATCTCGTCCATACCCTCACCAGTGTACCAATGCAAGAAAGCCTTGCGACGGAACATGGCAGTGAACTGTTCACCGACACGCTTGAACAGCTCCTGGATGGCGGTGGAGTTACCGACGAAGGTGGAGGACATCTTGAGGCCGCGGGGAGGAATGGAGCAGAGGGCGGTCTGGACGTTGTTGGGGATCCACTCGACGAAGTAGGAGGAGTTCTTGTTCTGGACGTTGCGCATCTGGTCCTCGACATCCTTCATAGCGACCTTGCCACGGCTGGAAAATGAGTTAGCAAAATCATGGAAAAGGAATCATTCGGGTCAACTCACAAGATGGCAGAGCAGGTCAGGTAGCGACCGTTGCGGAAGTCGGAAGCAGCCATCATGTTCTTGGGGTCGAACATCTGCTGGGTGAGCTCAGGAACACTGACGGCACGGAAAGAGTGGGCGCCACGGCTGGTCAGGGGAGCGAAGCCGACCATGAAGAAGTGGAGACGGGGGAAAGGAACCATGTTGACAGCCAGCTTGCGCAGGTCAGAGTTCAGCTGACCCGGGAAACGCAGGCAGGTAGTGACACCGGACATAACAGCAGAGACCAGGTGGTTCAGGTCGCCGTAAGAGGGGTTGGACAGCTTGAGGGTACGCATGCAAATGTCGTAGAGAGCCTCGTTGTCAATGCAGAAGGTCTCGTCGGAGTTCTCGACCAGCTGGTGGACGGAGAGAGTGGCGTTGTAGGGCTCGACAACGGTGTCGGAGACCTTGGGGGAGGGAACGACGGAGAAGGTGGCCATCATGCGGTCAGGGAACTCCTCACGGATCTTGGAGATCAGGAGGGTACCCATACCAGCACCGGTACCACCACCGAGGGAGTGGGTGATCTGGAAACCCTGGAGGCAGTCGCATCCCTCAGCCTCGCGGCGGACAACATCGAGAACCTGGTCGACGAGCTCGGCACCCTCGGTGTAGTGACCCTTGGCCCAGTTGTTGCCGGCACCAGACTGGCCGAAGACGAAGTTGTCGGGGCGGAAGAGCTGGCCGAAAGGACCGGCACGGACGGCGTCCATGGTACCGGGCTCCAAATCGACGAGGACGGCACGGGGCACGTACTTGTTGCCGGAAGCCTGGGTAGGAGCGAAGGTCAGTACTCGTCAATA